ATATATACATAGAATATCTGATAATTATTGATACAATGCTTATGGATAGATATGTTGAAATGTAGATTGATTAAACTGAATCAAACTTACTATCGGACGATTTAGTTTAGCTCTACCTACCCACGAGTGTTGTTTCAATAATTATCAGACACTCTATAATATATAAAATTCGCGTATCTAAAATACTATTTCTGTAAGTTACAGGTCTATAATTTGAAAAATACATTTTGTATACTTACATTACCGAATGTTGAAAGAGAAAGGTCAATCATCTTTCCGGCAGTGATTTTAACTATAATGCTGGATCTTAAAATGATCAAAACTACATCGAGGGCTGTATTTCCGGGTAACAGATACCAATTTGTCATGTAAGCAATTTCACCAACTTGACCACACTGTTATATTACGATTAAATCGAACAATTCGCTCGTGGCAATATCGCGTTTTGATTAAACTCACACAGGAAATTAACTATTAATATATAATTTAATTTCTTATTGGTCGCAAATTATGCATAAAAAATTACTGATATTTTCAACAGGCATTACCTGTTCTGAAAGAATCTCTCCGATGTAACAAAATATAAAGATGTTGAAAGTAACCGAGATCAATATTATACCATATGCCACTATACCTTCTTTTTCATTTTGATTCCAATCCTAAAAAAGATTCTCTAATTCGTTCGAGTAATAGGCAATGATCAGCAATCAAATTTCACAATACGCGTACCAGTATACAATAATAACCCAACAGACACATGTGCAGCGTGCACCCTCCTACTTCCACAAGACAAACTACATTCGTAATTTTCTCTATATGAGATACGAAGCTAGAAATATATATTTAAGAATAATATATATATATATATATATATATATATATATATATATTCATAATATCACATATAATAATACATGCATTTATATATCAAATAATTATTTCTTTTCTTTTACATATATAGATTAATGTTATCTTAAATATATCAGCGTATATTTATTCAGTGATAGATCAATATCTCA